AAAAAAAAAAAAAAAGAAAAAAACAAATGAGCCAGCCCGTAACTTTGTTTCCAGAGAGTGCATAAAACTCTGATAGAAGTGATTGCACCCATAAATGCAGATGACATCAATTTGAAATATTCTATTTTGGAAAGTTAATTAGATTCCCTCCTGTCACCCACAACACACGTACCCAGATTCACAGCAGTGTGGGCCCAGAGTTGACACACCACTAGCGGTCGGTAAAATACTAAAACATTCATCTGTAAAATGGGAATAAAAAAAAATAACAAATAAAATACTGAAATACAGCTGGGTGTGGTGGCTCATAGCTATAATCCCAGCTCTTTGGGAGGTCTAGGCAGGCGGATCACAAGGTCAAGGGTTTGAGACCAGCTTGGCCAACATGGTGAAACCCCATCTCCACTAAAAATACAAAAATTAGCTGGGTGTGGTGGTGCATGCCTGTAATCCCAACCACTCAGGAAGCTGAGGCAGGAGAATGGCTGGAACACAGGAGGTGGAGGTTGCAGTGAGCTGAGATTGAGCCACTGCACTCCAGCGTGGGCGACAGAGCAAGATTCTGTCTCAAAAACAAACAAAACTGAAATACTTCCCTACAGAATAGAAATAGCGGTTGCCTCTGGAGTGCCTCCTGCTGTCCTGCCCCTCCCCTAGATCTGGACCACCCCCAAAAGCAGCAACTAAAGAGTTAATATGGGCCCAGCTGAGTTCATTCTGATTGGTGGGCATCCTAATCTGTCCATTCCCACCCCCACCTATCCGCTCTGGGCCCCTCAAAGACCAGTGCAAGGTCCTCACCTGCCAGTCCTCCTTGGTTCTGGTTTGGATCTGGTCTGGGCAGAACATGACTGAGGGGCTGTACAGACCCCAGGCAGGCCTGGCCAAAGGCTTTGGGGTCCCTGGAGTGGGCTGGGCTGGCTGGCCAGGCCTGAGTTCCAGGCTTTCCTGGGGAAATCCTTCCTGGGAGCAGTTCTTTTGGGCAAGCCTCAAAACCAGTCCCAGGAAATGGGGGCTTCTCCCTAAAAACTCATGCCCCCTCAGTGGCGAGGGTGAGAGAATGGACAGATGGTGAACCAATGACTGAAAGGGGCCTCGTTTTACAGAGGCAGGAACTGAATCAGAAAGGGGAAGTTCGCTGGTTCCCTCGGTGCTGGCTGAGGGGGAAAGGCAGGCGGAGCGACTTGCCAACGCCATACAGTGGCGCGGCCTGTGATGGTGGCTGGCACGTGCTGAGCACTCACTGTGTGCCAGGCATCATTCTACATGGACCATACCTGTTAACAGAGCCACCCTCTGAGCAAAGTGCTATCATTAATCTCATATTGGCCGGGCGCCATGGCTCCCGCCTGTAATCCCAACACTTTGGAAGGCCAAGGCGGGTGGATCACCTGAGGTCAGGAGTTCAAGGCCAGCTTGACCAACATAGAGAAACCCCATCTCTACTAAAAATACAAAATTAGCCGGGTTTGGTGGTGCATACCTGTAATCCCAGCTATTTGGGAGGCTGAGGCAGGAGAATCACTTGAGCCTGAGAGGTGGAGGTTGCAGTGAGCCACGATTGCATCATTGCACTCCAGCCTGGGCAACAAGAGCAAAACCCCGAAAAAAAAAAAAAAAAAAAAATCCCCATGTTACAGGCAGAGAAACTGAGGCACAGAAGGGGAGTAACTTGCTTAAGGTCATGCGGCTGAGTGGCAGAGCTTTGACTGGAATCCCCGCAGCCAGGCTCCAGGGTCCAAGGTCTATTCAGGCTGCTCGACTCTCCCTGCCACCCTCTACATAGAAGCTTTTTTCTTCTCCTTCCAGGACCAGGCAGCAACACCACTTCCACCTCCCTTGTCTGCCTCTCTGAATCCCTGTCCAGCAGCCAGGGCCTGCCGGGAACCAGGCCTCTTGCCTCTTTTGGCTCATAGATGCTTTTTTGTTTTTTGAGATGGAGCCTTCCTCTGTTACCCAGGCTGGAGTGCAGCGGCGCTCACTGCAGCCTCCGGCTCCCAGATTCAAATGATTCTCCTGCCTCAGCCTCCCTAGTAGCTGGGACTACAGGCGCATGCCACCACACCCGGCTAATTTTTTGTATTTTTAGTAGAGATGGGTTTTCACCATGTTAGCCAGGATGGTCTCCATCTCCTGATCTCGTGATCCACCCACCTTGGCCTCCCAGAGTGCTGGGATTACAGGCGTGAGCCACCGAGCCCGGCATTCATAGATGCTTTTGATACCAAGATGAGGCTGTGAGCCACATGCACCTAGTTTTGCTTATAATTTCAACAGGGGACTGAAGCCCACCCTTCATGTCCCTTTAGATTAGGAACTCTTGGCCCAGAGGCTTGCCTCACAGGGACTGTTCTGTGGTCCTCATTAGGACACAAGAGAGGGCAGCTTCCACACTTTGTCACCTGATCCCAGGTGGAGGGGAATCCAGCCGGCAGCTCAATTCTCTCCTGTCTGATCTCCTGACTCCTCTCCAATAGGCCCTGGCTAGGTCCTTTGCTTTCTTTCAGCAGGGACAGGAGGCCGGGAGGATGGGGAGAA